CGTCGGGTGGTGCAGGTAGAGAGACATTTTATTTTTATTCATTTTAGCTCTCACTTACAAAAAGGAAAATGTGAACGCAAGCTTGGTTAGTTCTAAACAAACTTGGTACTTGGGCTGACAAAAATGGTTTTAGATATTCTCCAAATAAAACAGTTTGTTTGCTATTTTTTTTGCGACGTGGGCTGTCTTTGAATCAAGACCTCAAGCTAAACTCTATGCTGTTTTCTTTTAAAAGTTAGCACTAATATCTGGGTATGACCTTTAACAGCTAGAAAGCTTACTTTCATTTCGCACTTAAAATGTAGAAGGAAAAATGCCTTTAAAGTATGAACTCCTTAAACATCTTAGCACACAAGACTTGGGGATCAGATAGAATATGTCTTGCGCACCTATACGATTTCCTTGTGCGATCCCGTCTCGACTATGGTGATTAGTGTACGGATCAGCGCGACAATCAGCTCTGAAAATGTTGGAACCAGAGCACCATCTTGGTTTACGACTCGCCAGGGGTGCTTTCCGTACATCCCCAATTCTGAGTTTACGCCGAGCCTAATGAGGTGTGTTTGGGTAACAGATGGCAATATCTGAGTATGATATTTGAATTTGATATATCCTCTGGGGAGAAGATCCACCACTGGAATGTTGTTTCCATCTTTGATAATTTATGGATTTCTTCTGGTCTTTATGAAAAACTGCGGCATAACATCCCTGAATTGTTTAAATGTCATACGCATTTTCACCCTGTTATTTTTCTAGGAGCTGACTCTCTTACCCTATATAAACGTGTACTCAGTTTTATTTCTAGCGCTGGCTTTTTACAGCAGCTTCAATACCCATTACAATGAGAAGTGACGTCTCATGTCCCATTACAATGGGAAGTGACACCAGAATGTGAATTAACAACCGAGTTCGGCGCACTTTGGCCTAAGTAGCATTTGGAGCCATAAAGACTGAAACCATATATATGATCTCACGATTCCTTATATTCGCCTTTAAGAACGCGGTGTTTGACATTGAACAGAGTTGCCGTTCCAAAAACACTTGAATCCCGAGGAATATTTCTTACCAAGACATTGAGAAGGGCAGTTTTGTCGGTTACGCTTGGATTTTTTTAGCTGCAGCAGTTAGTGCTCTTATCCGTTGAATTTAAGCGGCGGCCGTACGCAAAAACCCACATGATCACGGCGAGTGTCTGATAGCTTCGCGGCGTAAAAAAAATGCTCCCCATCCTAGTAGCCCCTCGTTCACGTCATCAGAGAAAGACGCGCTAACGCTCCATTTCTCTCCCGTTGTCTCCCCTCGCCCCTCCCTTTTGCTGCCCCCGTTTCAGTGTTCTCGGAGGTTCTTCAGTGCGTCTAGAGGGAGCTAGTTTAGCTCTACCTCGCCCTTCTTCGCATGACATAACTATTGCTTACAGCTATCGGTCCATGACGTGGGAATGGCAAACACGCCGCGCTGAGAGGTGTAGACGGAGGGCCGCAGCGGCACAATAACAGCAAAGGGTGCAGGGATCACGCACGACATGCAGCGCGTGCCTTTGACGTATTTTCTAAAGCAGATCTCTCACAACTATCCTACTGGGTGTGACAAGTATGTAGCGCCTCATACAGTCCACCGGTCTGTGGCCGCCAGGCTCGGCGGGCAACATTAGCCAGCGCGCCAATAAACACCGTGGAGCGCACGCCGCCCCGGTCAGTCATCATTCACACTAACAACCAGGCTGCGAGTCGTCTCTTCTCGGCGGGTGCTTCGGCCCCCTTCGTCCACGTTCTGGAAGAATCGTGACACTGGCGACGAGAAACCGTGGCACTGGAGGCGAACAACGTGCACGGTTCGGCCCACGCCGCCGAGAGAGTCGGAACATCGCCCCCCACTCCTGTCACCATTCCGCTGTACGGGAGGCTCGAGTCGTTCGAGGGAGATGGGTCTGCCTGGCCAGTCCAGGAAGAACAGGTCCACGTGCTCTTCCGGGCAAATGACACGCCCTAGGCGAAACAGCGAGACATCTTCTTGGCCAGCTGCGGGACTCGCGTCTTCAGCCTCCTGCTCGACGTCATCAAGCCGGCCACACCGCACGTGAAAACGCTGGGTGAGCTGCTCGCCACGCTGCGCTTGCAGTTTAGCCCGGCACCGTCCACGCTTATGGAGCGGTTCCGCTTCAAAAACCGGAGCCGCCGGGACGGGGAGACCCTCGGTCCGTTCGTCGCTGCGCTACGAGAGTTAGCAAACACCTGCGCCTTCGGCAACCAGTTGGACTCGCTACTCCGAGACCGTTTCGTCTGCAACGGCTTCAGCGAGAGGGGATCCTAGTGCCCGTCAAAACCTCGGAGTGGGCCGAACTAATTGTCCTTGTCCTCAATCGAGACGGCAGTGTCAGGGTCTGCAGGGACTTCAAGGTCACCATCTACCCCGTCGCTACCGGCGAGAAGTACCCGCTGCCTCAGATAGAAGATCTATGGTCGGCTTTGTCCGGGGGACAGAAGTTTTCCAAGCTCGACATTCGAGATGCGTACCAACAGCTGGTGCTCCAGGATGTCGCCCGGAAGTATGTCACCATTTCGACTACCATGGGACTCTTCCAGTACACACGCCTACCCTTCGGCGTGGCCTCAGCCCATGCCATCTTCCAGAGGGAGATGGACAACCTCTTCAGAGGCATGAGGCACGTGGCTGTGTTTGGACGACATCCTGCTTACCGGTACAGACGACGGAGACCACCTGCAGAACCTGTGCAAAGTCCTGACACGATTGCAGGGCGCCGGTCTCAAGCTGAGGCTGGACAAGTGCGTGTTCCTGACCCCCAGTCTGGAGTACCTGGGACAGATCATCTCCCACGCCGGCCTGGCCCTGGCACCCTGCAAGATTGAGGCCTTGCTCAAGGCGCCGAAGCCCGAGAACAAGAAGGAGCTTCAGAGCTACCTCGGCCTCATCAACTTCTACAGGAGGTTCCTGCCCAACCTTTCGACGCATCTGGAGCCGCTGCATCGCCTGCTTCGTGACGGTCAGCAATGGGCCTGGAAGAAGGAGCAGGACTTGGCCTTTTAGCACAGCAAGGAGTTGGTCATCAAGGCTTCAGCACCGGTACACTTCGATCCGGCCAACCCTGTAGTCCTCACCGTGGACGCGTCACCGTACGGGGTAGGAGCCGTCTTGTCGCACCGGGCTCAGGATGGTCAGGAACGCCTTGTGGCGTTTGCTTCTCGTCGGCTTCATGAGGCAGAGCAACGCTACTGCCAGCTCGACAACGAAGGCCTGGCACTCATATTCGGGATCGAGCGCTTCCACCAGTACCTGTAGGGCCGGAAATTCGAGGCCCTCACGGACCACAAGCCACTGCTGGGGCTGCTGGGGCCTGACAAGGCAGTTCCAGTGCAAGCCTCACCTCGTGTGGTACGCTGGGCCTTAACGCTGGCGGCCTACAGCTACAAGCTGCTCTATTGCCCAGGGAAGGACCTCGGACCTGCCGACACCCTGAGCCGCCTGCCCCTGCCGAAAGTGCCTGCTGCCGTTTCAGAGCCAGCTGAAGTTTTCCTTCTGGAGTAGGCCTACCCGGTGGTATTCACCAAGACTGCGGCGGTGCAGGCGACCAGCCGGGACCCGGTCCGGTCACAAGTGGTCAAGGGGGTTTCCCGAATTAAAACATTCTGGCGGGCTAGTTGGTTACACATAATTAAATTACAAATAGCGCAAGGACGAGGACAGACGAAGAAGTGGACAGGACAGGCGACAAATAGCGCCTGTCCTGTCCACTTCTTCGTCTCTCCTCGTCCTTGCGCTATTTGTAATTTAATTAGGGGTTTCCCGAGGGGAGGAGCTGCGTCACCAGACCTACCGACACAAGGCCGCCGAGCTGAGCTTGGAGCAGGGCTGCGTGCGGGGCACCCTGGCGTGGAAAGGACCAAGCTGCTGGCACGGTCGCACGTTTGGTGGCCTGGCCTGGACCAGGACATCGCGCACCAGGTGCAAGGCTGCCAGGTATGCCAGGAGATTCAGCGAGCCTCGCGCCAAGTGGAGATCACCCCCTGGCCGTTCCCACTGATGCCCTGGTCCCGCTTGCACGTGGATTTTGCGGGACCCCTCAGGGGCCACTACTTTCTGGCGGTAATGGACGCCTTCTCAAAGTGGGTGGAGGCAATGCCTGCCACCACTCCATCAGCAAGCGCGACCATTGCGGCGCTGCGGCCAGTTTTCGCGGCGCAGGCTTTGCCGTACATTATTGTGTTCGACAGTGGCTGCGGTTTCACGAGCGCCGAGTACTTAGACTGTCTGCAGAAGAATGGGATCCGCCGGATAGTGGTTCCGCCGTACCACCCTGCTTCCAATGGTGCAGCCGAGCGGGCCGAGCGGGGATACAGACAATCAAGAACAAGCTCAAGAAGAGCCAGCCCGGGGATTTCCAGACGCAGGTGGCCCGGGTACTGTTGCAGTACCGATCCAGACCCCATGAGGTCACTGGCCGTGCCCCCTACGAGCTTCTGCTGGGCCGGATGATCAAGACCCCTTGGACGTCTTGCATTCAAACCTCCGGTACACGGCGCTCCTGAAGCAGCTGAAGCAGAAGCTAGCTACTAACCGAGGGTGCCGTCCCGGGCATTTGCCGGAGCCGGGAGCATCGGTCTACGCCAGGAATTTCCGTCCTGGCCCACCCTGGTCTGCCGGACATGTGGTTTCTCCACCGAGTGCCTCGTCACTACTCGTCCGCATGCCTGACGGAACCACCTAACCAGCACGCCGACCATGTCAGCCCTCGCTTCGGGACTGGGCTTGCACTCTCGGCCGTCGCTTCGGAAGACCAGCCCGCCGGGCAACCAACGACGCCACCGGTCTCGGCCAATGGAGTGCCACACACCAGGGAGGCACCTGTGGCACCAGTCGAACCGGCGCCGCTCTCAAATCCGGTGCCTGCGGCTCCACCGGGCGGAACGTGACCGATTCAGGCAGCGCCCGGCGTTGCCATACCTGGCCCGTCGACACCAGTGACCAGGGGAAGTATACGGCAGCGAAAGCTGCCGTGTACTTCGCCTGGTCACTGGTCCCTACATCGGGGACTTCGCTGCTCCTACATCGGGGACCCCGCTGACCACTACATTATTTGGGCTCCTGCTCACCAGGGGCTGGCTGAAAACGAGGCTGCTGACGCTGCCGCCCGCGCGCTCTCTCTCCGGGAAGCTTCCTCCTCCCCCTCCGAACAGGACGCTGATCCTAATCCGTCTTACACTTTCAAAGATATCATGAGTTACTACCAATCTGGCCACAGCCTTTATCCCCGCCCGCGTAAAGGCCTTTCAAATGCGGATGAGCGGCTCTTACTCCGCCTCTACACCAATACATTGCTGTGCCCGGCAACCCTAAAACATTTTGATCCGTCTTTCACCGGCAGCTGCCCGCACTGTGGAGAGGTGTCTTCGGACATATATCACATGACGTGCGCCCGCCCTTCCAATCCCGGTATCCCCCCTCACCCAAACCCAGCTCGGAAGGACTCGGAGGCGACCCTGCTCGGCTGCTTTGACCTGCAGGTCCAACGAGCCTTGGTCGGGCGAGCCCGGGCGGCAGCCGACGCCCTGGAATTCATTCATTCATTCATTCATTCGTTTATTTTCTGTGCTCATGTACAGCTTGACGCCTTCGTAATGATGCACAACAAAATGTTCAAAGGTTAGTTACAAGAGTCTTAAAAGCTACGAAATTTGGGTTGAAAACATCAATATCTGCTCCCCTAAGGGTATTGTAGAAGTGTTGAATACGGGTCATGGGACTGGTTTGGATGATGTAATTAACATGGAAAGTTTGAGAAACTAGCAAAACTCGACTCGGAACGGGAATATTAATAGCAGATGTGAGATCCGGGCAATCAATAATCCATGAATACATTCATACTGGAAAACAAGATCGCGCTCACGCCGTCTGGAACTCAAAGTAGGGCATTTGCATCGTTCCAAGGGTTTCGCATAAAAATAATAAACAGTGCGAACAATGTAACGATCGTAAACAATTCTAAAAAAACGCTTTTGAACATTTTCAAACATCTCTTGGCTCGTAGAACTAATACAATTTCAGACTATAGAGGAAAACTCCCACCTGGTCTGGATTAAAGAGAAATACAACCGTAGAATACAGGTTGATGTGGAGATCTCACGCGTGATTCTAAAAATTACTCCCAGCTTACGCAAAGTGCCATTTATGAGGTAGTTAACATGTAAAGTATAACGAAGAGTCTATATATACACCAAGATCACGCGTGCACTCGACTCTTCGCAGGGGATCATTGCCAATCTGTTAGCAAAAGTTATTTTTTCTATCTTTCTAGACAAAGACATAATAACGGTTTTAGAAGGATTGAGCGTTAGCATGTTCAGACGACACCAACTGCACACAGGCCTAACATCCTCCATAAGTTTTTCACAATATTCCAAGGATATGATCTTCCTAAACAACTTGACATCATCTGCATATTGCAAGACGACCGAATTGCGAACAATCGAGCTCAAATCATTAATAAAAACATTGAAAAAGATCGTCCCAAGTAATGAGCCTTGCGGCACACCCGAAGAAAAAACATAAGGCCGGGAGTGATGTCCAAGAACACGAACAAAATTGTGTGTATTAGACAACTAATCTAGAAACAGGGAACAAAGGGAGGTACTCATGCCGTAGGATTCTAGTTTGTGTGCAAGGAGCGAATGGTCTACTAGGTCAAAAGCCTTAGAGGGATCAAAATATACAACGTCTACCTGTCTATGTTGAAACACAGTAGGCGAAACAGAATTAAAAAAAAAAAGACACCAGATTTCTCTCAACAAATTTTCCAGGCATGAAGCCGTGTTGTGAAGGGCTTACCTTATTCTTAAAAAAAAGTTTGAAATGCACTCAAACAAAACAATTTCATAGACCTTAGCAAAGGGAGATAGCAACGACACAAGTCTGTAATATTTACGTCATCCGTTCTGCCATTATTTTGTACTGGCACAGTTATAGAGTGCTTCCACAGGGAAGAAAATGTAAGGCTCTGCAACGACAAGTTAAAATATGCATTAAGACGGGCGTAAAAATGGAGGAGCATTTTTAACAATGAAGCTTGGAATGCCGTCAAATGCAACTCATAACTTTGGCTTCAGTTTCCTGATAGCAAGTTCAATAGCAGTAATTTCAAAAGATAGAATTGACAGGTGACCACTGGCATTATCGCTGACGCCATGCACAGGGAGTCCAGTTTGGCCGCAAGAATAAACCGAAGAAAAATAACTCGCGAAGGCATTTGACACACCTTCGGGCTCAGACAGCATATCACCTAACGAGTCAGCTATGTTTATTGGTGACGAAGTTGTAGTTGTGCGATAATTTACATATCGCCAGAAAAGCATTGGGTCACGATTTAAGCTGCGCTCTGCTGACTCATAGTGTAATATTTTAGCGCGCTTTAACAATGTCTTTGCTAGCGCACGCGACTCAGATCCCGAACTAGGGATTTCTAACTTGTATCTGAAGGGGCTGGCCCCTTCTCGGTCAGCTCTCATATCAATAAATGTTTTCCACCACCACCAATTCGGCGTTACATGGTGTTGCAAACGTCTTTCATTTTTTTCATTTCTGGTTTATCAACGTGGCTGGAAACCCAAAAACTATTTCGAATTCTTTTTTCTTTTCTGGAAGCAAGATTTTTTTTTTCACAGCTCTATGATTTTCGGGTTTTTAGCAGCTGCGAGTGATGTGAGCGCTCGTAGAGAATTAAGTGAGTCAGTGAAGACGACAGAGTTCACGGGGTTTGTTTTCACGATGTGGTCATTGACAAGACGTAGATCGCATAGCTCTGGCATTTAGAATGGTGGTTGCGGATGCAATTCTAGGGTACATCAAGCAGAGACTCCAACCATGCCACATCCAATAGCTCTATGCTTCATCGTCCCATTAGGGCAGCAGGAGCAGCGCACAAAATATCTAATGTAAAGTTCAAAAACCTATTGTCTCATGCGCTCTGCAGGAGTGTCTTTCTTAGTTTATTTGGTTAGTGAGTAGTCAAAGAAGATGAGGTTTCAGTCCCATGGGGCTACGATTTGTGCGTTAGGGGTTACGACAATTGCACCAGTCAGCGCAATATGATCTACAGTGCACGCGTTCCTCATGCTGAACGGAGGTATAACAGTGGGCTTGTTTACAAAGGTGCGTTTGTATCTTGTTTCTGCTACAACATCTTGGCACGGGTGTAGGGGAAGTGAACGAATCGTGCGTAAATACATGAGTCCTAACGCAGACCTCCGTCCCTCCAGCGGCCATTCATTTGTTCCTGAATGGAGGCTAGTGACAAGCGATGTGCGGAAGGCAGCAGTCGAGTGACGAAGCCCTTGGTGATAGACAGGATGAAGCATTTTAGAGCTGATGGCCTCGCCGATTCACAAATAATACTGTCATAATCCAAAAAAACGAGCTAATCACTTACCTATTGGTTCGGTGAACGCAGAGTTGGCCAGAGCCCCGAGATGTGTGAGAAAGCACTTTAAGAGTGTTCAGTGCTTTTTGGCATTTTTTTATATCCTTAATATGAGAAAGAAAAGAAAATTGGTTGGTCGAAAATACTCCTTAGAAATTTGTGTTCTTGTTTTGTTGAAATTCGGGTAGAATGCGTGGTGACTGAGCGGACCCGCTAAGGGTCCCCTCTCAGTAGGCGAAAGACGCAAACACACACAATTGTTTTCAGCAAAAATTTTGAACCCATTTTGATCTTCCCACGTTAGTAAATTGTTTACCGTTAGTTAAATCCTTCGTTCACACATAAGTTCACACAAAGTAGGGTTGCAAGAGAAGACATATCTTTGGAGGTCATTAGCAAAAAGGGAATAGTGAGCAGCCGATGGGGTGAGCCAAGATATAGAGTTCATTTTTGCCATAAAAATGTGACACTCAAGATGCCTGCCTGAGGGACACTCTTTTCTTAGCAGAACCCTTGAGATTAGGCTGTGCCCAAACTCGCACGGAAGATATTCGTCGCCAGAGAGCTCTGAAGGAATGCTATTATCCCGCCACGAATCGCAAACCTATACAAATTCTGAAGGAAACCATGCCTCTAGCAGTGTCGTAAGCATCCGCCAAATTGAAAAAAAGACAGACAAGCAGTACTGCCCATGTACAAAGGCCTCGCCAAAAGTAGTCTCAAATACGAATCAGGTGGTCTAATGGACCGCCGGAAACCGCATTCGTATTTATACAGAAAGATTTTTTTTAAACAAAACATGTCTCTTTGAGACAATCCTTTCCAAAGCTTTACTGAGACAAATTGTTAGCGTAATATGGCGGTAGCTGCATGCACATGATGCATCTTCTGCCTTTGGCAACGGAATAGTGGTTTCCACTCTGCATGATGACGGGAATGTACTTTCGTGACAAATGGGATTTAACGGGTACAGGTCTAAATCCAGCGTACAGAGGTGAAGGTGGGTAAGCACATGATAATGGATTACGTCTGGTCCAGCAGCCGCAGGCTTTACTTTGCGTAGCACCCGCTTCAGCTCATTCAGAGTAAGGAGATTTTCGTAAGCTTCCCGGGCAGCGCCGGATGTCCGAGTAGATTGCCGCTCTGCTTGAGCCTTGTGTTTCAAGAAAGCCGCTAAAGAATTCTTGGAGCTCGATACGCGATGAAAGTGTTCCTCGAGGAGATTTGCCTGCTGTTAGAGACTGTCGGGACACAGTTCATCTTCAGAAAGAAGCGCTACTAAAAACGCGGGCTAGTACCCATTGACTTTATTATTTCTTTTCCTATATCTTTGCTGATGGCAGTACTGCTAACAGAAAAAAGCATATCATTGAAACCGCTGCTACGTTGCGCGGGAACGAATTGCACAAGCCTTCATTATTTCGAAACTGATTAGGCTGGCCACTGTTGAATAGTGCAAAAAATTGCCCCATGATCCGTTCCGCATTTTGCTTGATTCTTCACAGTCGGCGTTCCATAGTTTAGAACGACCGTGTAGATGAGGTGACGTCATTGGGATAACATAGGAGCATGAAGTACGTGACTGTTAGCAGATTGGTAACTTCGTCAACTCACAATTTGTCAAATTATGTACAAGTAAGCTGGGTCACCTGGCTAAAAATAGGACGGTTTGCATCCCCGTACTTCAACCAGTTAGTTCCTGTGGGCACTGTGACAGGTAGATTTACTTGGTTTAAACTTATCGGAAAATAATCGCTCCCTTAGGGAATGGATTCGACAGCCCAAGAGACGAGAGGAAATAATGTTGGGTTGCTAAGGGAGAGATCGATGGACGTAGAGGATCGACTTGAGGAACCAGTACATGTTGGCTCCATTTTGTTTAGCAAGCATAAATCTATGGAGGAAAAAACCGTTTTATCATTGAGGCACGCGTGTCTCGTCTTTTACTTCCTCAAGTAGGGTTATGATCATTGACATCGCCAAAGATTAGGGCTGATTGGGGACTTTGGTCGTGAAGAGATTCAAGCTTTTCGCGAGATAGAGGGTAGCTTGGAGGAACATAGAGATAACAGGCGGTTATCAATTAATCAGAGAAGACAGACACTGCCGCAGCGTTTAATGTTGTATATAAAGGAAGCTCAACACATGGAGTACTCCACTGGACAACTAAGATACACCACCAGAGGTGTGGGGAAAAAAGATTTCTACGAAAAACCTGAAAATGTCTTAGGATGTCAGAATGACTGACGTTCAAATGTGTTTCCTTGAGACAAAAGGCTAATGGTTAATGAAGGCCTAACAGTGAGCACAGATCGTCCTAGTTACGAAGCAACCCACGACAGTTCCATTGAAGGAATACGTCTGCCATCATGTATGAGATAAAATTAAAGGCCCATGTTTAGACCTTAAATTCAATTTTTGATCCGCGGTGCATTTTAGGTGTCCTTTGGCCTACTGTTTTTACCCCCACAGACCGGAGATAAAAATTCCGTACTCAATTGAGAGTCATCAGACATAAGCCCACAATCGTCCATCGGTTCAGCTGTTGCTGCCACAGGCTAGCCCTTAGACGCCTGCGCATCCGACGGCTGACCAGGATTACGAGTCAGCCAAAGGTGCGATGGGGTAATCCCCGACCTCGAGGAGGCTGGATTTTCGGGAATGGAGGGGTTGCACACCAATGCGCTTGGATGAATCCTACAGAACCAGGATCAATATCTCATTCTGTGGGCGGAGCGGCTTGTCCCACTTTAGATGAGGGGGCGAGGGCTGGGAGGGGTGACACAGGTTGTGTGTTGAGGTCTCTGTTCCAGTTGACACCGCTGACCGCGCAAGTCCCTTTCATGCGACATTGGCAAATGAACCTTTGGATAGGAAAGAGTATCGCTTTCTAGCTTTCAGATACGAGATGTTTTCTTTGGCCTTCAGAAAAAAAAATTCCTTCTCCTGCTTACGAAGAGGGCAGAAACGGTAATATGATGGGTGAGCTCCCCGACAGTTCACACGTGTTACTACCGCAGTTGTTGGTACGGTGGTCGTTGCTTGCATATTTAGGAGAAATGACTGTTCCTGTGCAGGTGAGTTACACATGTCCAAAGCTTTGGCAGCGGCAACAACGCCTTGGATTGGGGATCTACGGACGGACCTTGCAATTTTGGTACCAGGCCCTGACTGGTACGGGAAGCGTTGTCGATTGAAGGTTAAGACAGACTGTTTTTTGTTTCGTTCCTCAAAATCGCGACGGAGGATAATATGTCGTACATCAGCGATCCCATAAAATTTGTCCTTCAAGGATCTCGTTGGTGGAAATGCCAAAAGAAAATCATCTTCGGTGATGTCGCCCTTTGTGCTGTTCAGTGAGTGGTGTGGAGTCACGCATGTGTTGTAGTCCCTTACTTGGTTGACTTCCAGAAGTGCTGTGCTCTGCGCTGTGGTGGTGACTTCCAGAAAAAGGTCGTCAGCTGAAGGTTTATTTGCTTTTGAATCATATTCCGATAAAACTATGGTTATTCCGAGTAAAAATTGGGAAGTTTAGTAAGTGGTTGGTTCTCATTTTCAGTATGAATTATTAGAAACTCAGGAAACGGAATAGCTTGTAGGGTTACGTTCTTTTTTTCGTTGTGTCTTCCATCGGACCCCTTTCCGGGCGCCGATAAGGAAGTATTTAGCTTTGGTACCCATATGAAGTAGAAAAGTAAATTCGGCTCCTGCGGTGTGCCCCACATCATCGAGCCCACTTGAGGGAACAGTCGACAGGCCATAATAAAAAGTGCTTTGATGAAACTGTTGGTATGTTACCCTTTGTCCAGGTGCGCTACCCAAGCAGAAATATCTATCGCCGCACAAGGTTGGCCCATACCACCAAAGAAGGTGCAAAAAGTAAAAGAAAAGTAGGAGAGCAGAAAGTTAAGAAAGGATAGTAAAAGAAAAGAGGGGATTTTAAAAGAAAGACGACTGCCTGGGTCATCCTCGTCGGTCCTTACCAGGACACCGGTCTACGGGAAGCGGCAGCCAATGTGGTGTTTTGCCCCGTCCGGGGAACCCGTAATCGTCCAGACTTACTCCGGTCTTCACTCAACCACCAATGTACCCTTTTCCCCGGACACGGGAAAGTCACGCATAGAGAGACTGGACGGGCGAACCCGCATGGTTCGGGGTCCGTCGCGGTGCCACTCACTAAACAACCTTTACCGAAAAATCCGGTATAACTTTTCGCAATCCGGATTATGGAACCGGAAATCTATCTGGATTCTATCTGGAGTCTATCTGGAATTTAGGGTTTCAGAAATTATTCCTTTGTCTGCAATTTGGATTTCGGGATTCCAATAACAAGTTTCCGGTTCCATAATCCGGATAGTGAAAAGTTATACCGGATTTTTCGGTAGGGACTACTTTAAGAGGTGCCCTCTTTGGGCGATTTTGTAGGGGGAGGAGGGATTTTAATTAGGACACTTAAGCCTGCTGCGTATATTCCTTTATCGCAGTCAGTATATATATTATTTCCTAATTTATCATCTCGTCTGTATTTCTCTGCAATGAAAACCCATACGACGAGATCTGCGACCGGTAGTCTTTGTTTTTTCTGTAATCATTCAACCGCTATTGTATTTACTTATTTATTTTCAGTGCCTACCAACGGCCGGAAGCCTAGGACGGTAGAGCACCAAGTCACACCACACAGGTGAAGGTGACAAAATAAATAAATTCAGAAAAGGATCCAGGGACAGCGCACTATATCGGATTGTCAACGCTTCTCTTGAATGAAGTGACGTCATCATTAAAAAAGTCAAGGCACGTATCAAGATGATCAAAATAGTTATGTATGCGAACAACAGGAGAGAAACAATGCATGAGATTAACGGCGAACGTGCAGTTGTTTGGGAAATGTCTAACAGGCGCAGTTAGATTGATGCAAGACGGAATAAAAGGACAATCATAATACCCATGCAAACACCTGAACACAAATATGAGATCACATCTGCCGTGTCTTGTTTTAACTAAACCAATCCTAAGCGATTGAGCATGTTCACATATGAGTAGAGCTCGGAGAGGTGTTGTCTTGAGTGATACGTACGTTCAAATCGTTTTTGGACACGCTCTAACGTCGCTGCAGCAGAGGTACTAAGGTTGTTCGAGACAACTGAAGCAAAGTCTAATTTGGGCAAAATAAGGCTTTTGTAAAATACAAAAACACATAAGGGCTCGCAAAACAGCGAAATAAGGCGAGTAACCATGCCCTACGCCTTAAAAACAACATTCAGTAAGAACCACCGAAACTGCTAGATCTTTGTGCACATTGCAATTCTAGAGCTTTGTAAATTCGAAGTTACTTCTGTCCGGTTTTATCAATGGCTGTCATTCACAAATTTGTTTCACACTTTATACGATGGTTGACATAAAAAAAGATTCATTGAACTGAACGTTTCCCTTTTACGTGAAAGCTCTTCGACGCGAATCTTCCGAGGTCAACTTTGCCATTCCCAGCGCTGCTCTGACGTGCTTTAACCAGAATTGCTTCGCACGCCTGGCTGAAACCTCGGCGCGCTGTGCCAGTAGGTTGAACAAAACTTCTCGCCCAAGTTAAGTTTCCAAGCATAATATGCTCAGAGGGCTAAGGAACAAATTCTCGGCGGAGGCCGAAACACGACTCCACGGAGATTCTTGTGAGCTTATAACAAAAAATCAAACAGTCGAAGGTGAAAAGATAATAAGACAAGCTAGAAATTGTATCTAGTTGAAATATTTTTGAACATTAGTTACTGCCAATTAGTCAAATCCAAATAGCTTAGACTTCCCAGCTTACATCTCCTGCTTCGCGTGTTCTGAATTATGACACAATATGCGTCAAGATTTTGCCAAGTCTTTCCTGAGACGAAAGAGGTGCTAGCTTCAGATGCTTACGTCTGTCAGCTTAGAGTCATTCCCGATTAGTGTACGAATAATAAATGTACTTGATGGGAAAATGGACAGAAGTGCATTCCCACTTTGGTGTGAAAAATGTGCCATTTTTAGAGCACAGCGAAGGTTAGCCTCTAGATTATGAACTTAGCCACCGAGAGCTGTGCAAGGATAATCCTGATTGCTTTATTTGAGATAAAATTGGCTGATAGTATGGCTGCATTAACTTTAGTCGAAACAATTTAAAAATTCATACCTAATTTTTCCTGAAGTAAATTAATATAAAATGGTAACAGCCAATAGCATATGTATAGGCATACAGGCATATGGTATTTATAAAGCAAAATTTACAATGAATCTGAAGATTCAAGGCTCCAGATTTGGCACCAAAAGGCCAAGATGCGATGTTTTTTTTTTATTGTTTTCTTTTTTATTTCTGGAATGAAATATGTTCAAGCGTTTTTTTTTTCAAACAAAAAAAAATATTCTATGCGACTTATGATAACAAGATTAATTACTGTGAGTGATTCCCTTTTACCCTCTTATTAGAGCTGCCAGAACTGAGTAAAAAAGACAGCCTAAACGTAGCGTTTTAACTAGCTCCAGTCAAAAGATTTTTGTGGAGAAATTAAAAAAAAACGGAGTGGTTTTGTTAATTAGCGAGATGGGGCTAAGTAGATATTTTTGAGATAATCAAAATACCCACCTCGAGACGCATGCTCGATTTCAAATGCAACCATACTACAAAAAACAAATATCCTAAAGCAAAAATCACATAATCCAAATCTATTGTAAAAACAAAAAACTTTCAAGAACGCCAGAATCGTCCGTTGACCCTTAAATAACACTCTATGTGCTCTTTTTGCATTTTAACTTAATTTTTTGATGCCCTTTAGGACCAGAAAATAAGAATGTCAATACTGGAGGTCAATCTATTGAACTACCAGGATGTACATTTTCTATAAAAGCTCATGGCAAAACAGCTAACACCTTGTACAGAAGAAAATGATGCGGTATATGTTTCTTTGCGCTTTGTCGGCTTTAATTCAAAATGCCACTGCGAGAGGTACGTATCTTTTTGAGTACAACTCATTGCTTTGTTTCTGACAAACCACTTAATTTGGAACTGTTGTAAGTTTAGTTGATATTTCATATACTAGTGCATATACACGCTTCTGTATTTACGAAGGTAATTCCAGAGAACCACCATTACGCTTTGTGCCCCGAATATGTTTTTGAAACTGAAAACAAAACATTATACGCTATGACATACTAAAATTTTATACTGACAGCTTTTGGTGTCTTTTTAGATCGTGTAGGACATTTTCAGTAATCTGAGTTTCAAGATCGTAATAAGGAGGATACTTACATAAAGACACGAATGTTTTTTACCGAGACAACCATGATTTCTATGAGGAGTTCCAGCCTATCCAAGGTGTAACTTGTCGCACAGCATACCACTCGCAAATATTCGTCGACGGATAGCTTTAGCTATGCGTTGACGTAACTTAGTCAGACATAGTCACAGGATGCTTTGTGAACAGACCATTGCGTGCTAGCTAGCATGTTGGACTATAATAAACAAATGAGGGCACAAAATTAAAACCTAAGCTGTTTAGTATCTGTTCGAAGACGAAAGTACCATTTTTCTAGTATTGACACAACCGAAAAAGCAACTTTCGACAGTCGAATTGATGAAGTCGAGCAGTGAATATGGGATGACGTCAACACCTCCATATAACAAGGTTGTCGTACTGATTTTTCCTCATCACTTACTCTGGGCGGGCGCAAAGCGGCTTGGGCAGAACGCTTGCGTCGGCGTTCAGCTGGTACACGTGTTCAATTATCGGTTTCATCTCTGCTCCACGACGGCTTTTGGTGGACGGTGTAGACAATTCAGGTCTACGGTTTCGCTATCCGAGAGGTGTTAGCGATGTTCAATATTGTTAAGCGAGCTAGGTTTTCAATAACCGCAAAATTAAACGCCATTGGTCATTACCGTAATTAGAGCGTCAATAATAATCTATATTGAAGCACTCTGAACTTCGTGTTTTCCAAAAGTGTCTGTTTTTATTTCATTAATGGAAGTACACCAACAATTTGTTACCCTTCAGTAATTTTTAAATAATATAGAGTTTTTTTTAGATCGTTTGCCGCAGATACATATCACAAAATAAGTGTTGTTAATTACACAATAAATCTTTTTGTGATACTACGGATATTACGTAAACTTATAAGAGTCAACACGCTTAGCTCTAATACCAACATCATAAATTGCAAATTTAGTTGAACTAAGTAAAGCTGCCGTGCACATTTTCTTTTCCTGGGAACTATTATTGAGTCTGCGCTGGAATGTTCCGTTGCTCAGCACACGGCAAGATCATGAAATGGCTGGCTGATTGTGTACTTTGCAAATATGTTTATGTCATATTGTTCACTCAAGATGTCATGATTATACCAGCTGGAATTTGAATCTGGGAGTTTTCAAATTTATTCATATTATGACGCCACACTTATCTAAAAATAGTCCCTCCTGTGTCTTTTGAAGCCTTAATCCAATTATGGCAGAATACTGTAGTCAATTTTTTTGTTTCTCATTGATTTCTGGTCCTCTCGTTAACATTTTTTTAGATGTTCGTTTTGATGAGCATATCGTTCCTAAAAAACAAAATTAATTTTTCTCAATCTTTTTAATCGGTTTGGACACTAAAATAAAGAAGCAATACACGAGATTTTTTTATAAATCTGATGCTATTTTGTGTTAGCTAGATAAAGACGCCAGCCTGACACTCATGTAGGGTTGGAGGTCAAGCTTAAGTAACACATATTATGTTTGTCCAGGAGACAAGCCTTATCACTGTCGCGAGCTGCGCTCTTGTCTACTATTAGCGCAACCTGCAGGTTTTCACTAATTACAGTTTTCTGTTCTTAAAGGGACCATGAAATGATTTTAAAATCGAGTTTCATCCACCGCACGTCGTAAAAGGTGTGAAAAGAAACACAAAAACACAAAAATAGGGAGGCCAAAAAAATTATTTGCTATAGAACTTTTAAAAGAAAACTGGACTCTTTTGCGCCTTCCTTCCTTCGCCTGTTCACTACGATGCATACGCAGAATCGGTGCACGTCAGCCGAATCCACATCGCCTATTGGGTAAGAGCCTACCTCACCAGCACCGCGATCGTAAACAATAAATAGCCGGCGAATGTTTCCTAAAAGTTTTGTTAAATAATATTCAGATCCACATTTTGTAGCATAATTAGAGATGTGTGGCGAAAATTGCCAAATTTGATAATGCTGAGAGCCAAGCGCCATCTATCGTGTGGTAAACGAAGCAACTACTGCGCGTGCGCAGTAGGGCAGGGCCGCCAGTTACTTGGGTGACGGCGACCGACGAACATTTATTTTCTTTGTTTTCCTTCCTCTCAAAACTCTGACTGACTGAACGTTTATTTTTCTACGTGTTCTTCCCGCGCGTGCCGACTTCAAGCAGCAAGAAAACAGTACTTAAAACAGACCACGACGAACAAGAACGCTGGATTCACCGACTCCGACGAAGCGTATAGGCCTAGCAGGCATTCCGACTCGGCGCTGCGTTGCTTCGTCGCAAGACCGTCTGCCTACGACCGGCTGGCGTGCTAAATGGAATATGCCCGCGCGACCCTTGTGGACCCTTCCCGTATTACAGTTTGATCACTGACCTCAATTCTAGATTAAGAGGTGAGGAGGTCAATCACTTCCCCTTGTTTTCCGAGGCAGTGTTGACGAACACTCGTCGAAAAGGGACTCTCGTCGATTCTATCTTCTTGTTTTGTGTGATATAGAGCTGAAATAAACGCCGTATGGATTGCCTTCGTAACACGGTATGTACACTTTGTTATTGGTATGCCATTTTTATTCTGACAGACTGCACGTCACTGTCGACCCCGGTCCAACCTTTCTTTGCCGAGTGTCGCGTCAGTATCGAGTTTCAATCGTAAAAGAACGGTCCCGAAGAGCTTACCAACAGCGCGAATACAAGACTTCCATCAAGCGCGCGCGTCCGCTCCGAGTGTAAGCAGGTATTTACGTGGCTCTTGCTGACACTCGTAGTTCAAACGCATCTTTTTTAACGTCGGCTCGCTCCTGCATCTCCGAGGCCGCGAAAAACGCCATCTACGTCGCTTTGCAAACGACTGACACGGGCCGGCCCTTCTGCCAACAATGACGGGGTGGTGACAAGACTCGCTGCACTTCCCAACAGGCATACCGGCGTATGGGACTAGTCCCATGCTGTCGCTGTAGCGCAACATATCTCATTGAATTTCGCTCAGCTGCGATGCGGCGATGAGAGACGCCGATTCAGGAAATACGTCGGTGACATCAGCGCAGTAAAACCTACCGGCGCACCCCAACTCGTTGCCGCTACTGCCGAGAGAACTTCCGGTTCCGGAAACGGTCTACGTCACGGCTTCTTTTGCGGTCAGTTGGAGAGAATGAAAAAGTCGATATTTCAATAATTTTTTGTGTAAAAGTTAATAAACCGAGACGAAAACGGATGCCTGTTCGGCATTCAGTGAACATTGACGGTTTAATGTAAAAGTTATCTGGAAAAAGTAAAAAGGTCATTTCATGGTCCCTTTAAAGCACGAGGTTTCTTCCGCTTCTTCGTGAATCATCCTGTCTGATTCAACGTCTCGTATTTTCTGATTATTGTGAATGGGATTGGTCGAAGTCTACTGTGCCATGTTGGATATATCCTGCCAGCCTTTCTCTTATCGCCCCGCTCCACTCCCAAAACAAGGAGCATTTTTGCCTTTTCCTCGTGTGAAAAAGGTAACGTTGGCGTGTTGAAAAACAAATGGACGCCTTAACACAAATTGATTGCAACACGACACAAATAAAATAAATGGCTCGCACGGAGACATGCGCTTACCCGCGACGTGCAAGACGGAAATTGTACCGCGACATGCAAGGCCCAGAAACTAAACTACATCTCCCTTTGGTATGAGCAGGCCTGAAAGCTAAAACAATTAATAATAATAATTGGGGTTGTGGGGATATTTATACAGCGTGTAGTTGGTCAGCCATTAAAGCTGCGATGAGTCACACGCTGTAGATGAGCAATTTAACCAGTGCAGTACAACCGCTAGCCTGGGGTGTTTAACGTGCACCAGTAGTGATACACGACCGCACGCCGGCACGATGCTCATCCAGATCGAAACGGGCAGGGGTGGGGCTCGAACCCAGGATCCCTGGGTTCTGCAGCGCGAGCTTTCGCACCACGCGCGTCGAGCTGGGTGTGCGCTTCAGCCCATTCGGCCACCGATCCCCTGCTAAAACAATTATACAATACTAGGGCTGTGTAATAATCTTAGACCTTCCCCATGTGTATGCTATTTTACGATCAGCGAAGAACAACGCTGGCTTTCTTGCGCCAGTTACTGTGGGGAGAGCTACTCCGCGCTCTCTTTGCACAATCAGTGCGCCTATCTCGGGGCCTGCGCTAACACGAGGCCCCGTCTCGGACAGCGCAGCAGTGATAAGGTGGTCTTCGTTTCTTCGGAGCACGTTTCAAAGCGCTGTAATCGCGACGCGCGTGCGCGTCGCGATTGCAGCAATTGCAGCTGGGGAAAATCTTGATTGGGGATTTCTCTGTGCCGCTCTACAACTTTCCAATTCTTACATTGGCCTTAAAGATATTGTCGCTGATGACAAGTGACGAGACGGCAAAGGACTGAGTAAACTAAATGTTTAATTGGGCGTACTTCAGACCCCCAAAAAATGAGAAAGAAAGATAACAACAGAGCGTCACGAGCGTCGAAGGCGGCGAAGCAGCACGATCGAACGCTGAGGCGAAACTGACTGTGGCTCGCCACGCGGAGACCATTTTGTACATGCGTGGTTTTCTGGAATTTTTGGCGTAGAAAGTTCGACGCGTGGAACATTCGGACCTCGAAGAAGCAACAGGATTCTCGAATTTACT